TGTATTAATCAGTACAGGTGTTATACTAAACATATCCTATATTAGGCAGGTTCCTCTAACTAATAATAACAAACCTCAAGATACTGCTGTAAGGGAATGAACCCCAAGAGAATTAGTAATTAGTAACCCTGCTCGGCTGTCATTAACTTGTTATAACAGAGAATTTAGAAAACACGCTAAAATAAGATATGTCACTGTACTAGTAGCTGTATTAGCAGCTGTACTACTGTTCTAGCTGAGTAAAGTGTCGTCGCTGTAATACCAGCTCTTAATATTTAGCACTTAATCTGCGTACAGTGGAGAGTTTATTGAGAAATAAAGAAGTTTAGGGGTTGTTCACATATTACGTAATCAGCCGAGGGCGGAGGGGGTTTCCAAATGATTACGCTAGTGTAATTTTGACACAATAGCGTATGTGTAAAACTGATTACAGAGGGGTAGGTGGCGTTAAAAGTTGTCCAAAAAGTGATTACGTAATATATGAAGGACCCCTTAGTCAGTTAGTTAAGAGTTAGTGTTAACTCAATGTTTCTCGTCCCTCTTCCTCTCTACCGTCACGGACAGCTAACCGTCAAATAATTATCTTTTTGAGATAAAAGAGTACACTACTGACACTTGACAGTGAACCTAGTAGCTCAGTAGAGTACACTACTGACACTTGACAGTGAACCTAGTAGCTCAGTAGAGTACACTACTGACACTTGACAGTGAACCTAGTAGCTCAGTAGAGTACACTACTGACAGCGTCCGGCCCAACAAGGGGAAGTCATTACCCGGCCTTACCCGACCTGGTTACATCACATCCCACACTCTACCTACCACGTGACACAACACGTGCTCTGACACGTGCTGCGCGGCGTCACACGTGACACAATACAGATAACAGTATCTGTCACGTGACACAGATAGCAGTGCGTATCTGACATGCCGTATTTCTACACACGCAGAGACTCTGACAGAGAGTCTGTAGTTAATGTCAACAGTATATAAGCAGCTATCCTAGTGGCCTATTAGCTGAGTTATATCAGTATATGACGTGGTGTGAGCACTGTGTTCTGATTGGTTAATACTGAACAATACCATTAACGTTAGTAAAGTTAGGATTGTAGGTATCTGCACGATATAGACGTCATTTTCCCAGGTTCCTACTCCTAACTACTATAACTCCTAACTACTACTAGTAGTAGTATAGAGGTAATACTAACTACTATAACTCCTAACTACTAGTAGTAGTATAGAGGTAATACTAACTACTATAACTCCTAACTACTACTAGTAGTATAGAGGTAATACTAACTACTATAACTCCTAACTACTACTAGTAGTATAGAGGTAATACTAACTACTATAACTCCTAACTACTACTAGTAGTATAGAGGTAATACTAACGATTGTACTATTAACAGGCTGATAACCACCTGCAGGTGTATAATGGTTTTTAAATCAGACAATATCAGTGGATAGCAGGATTAAATTAGAATATATTTTCAGATACTAGGTAAATTTATTATGCAGGTCATATTCTATTCAGTGAATTATATCCTCAGAATTTGAGGTAGATCTGACTAATATTATAGTCACCTGGAATGTGGACTCTTAAACCAAGGTCAATTAAGTAATTAAGTATTTACTTGCCACTAAAGATGGGTATTTTGTAGACTACACTAGATTACAAAGTAGAGTATTAGCTGAGATTTGGGGATTTACCAAGGACCAACAGTATTTTCCTCAAGTATATACTACTATTTAAGCAGGGAGCAGTTCATTGGCAATATAGCAAATCTATCTTTTTAGTTTGAGTCCGGTTAAGGATTGTAGTTAGAGTACACAATTTAAACTACTAATTAGTAATTAGTAATTAGTAGTCCTATAGAGGTAATCTAAACCCCTGTAGTCAGGCGTACATTAGGATCATTATTTAGATCAATGGGGTAAATCTAACCCCCCTCCCCCTTAAACAGGCAGTTCGATATAGCTAAAAAAGGCAATAAGTTACCCAATACCCAATGTTAATCCGCTTGAAGAAGTTGCTTAGTTAACCTTAGTATATTCCCTATAATATAATATAACATAACATAATAATATAACAAGGTCACGCGTCATGTAACATGTATGTAACACGCGTCACCACCTAATAACATAACTAACAACCATTAACACTTCTAACTTTATGTTATAGGTTTAAAACTCTCCTCTCAACAAAATACCAGCTCACTTAACAACATTACCACTCATCGCCACTTTAACATCACCACTTTAACATCACCACTATAACATCACCACTTTAACATTACCACTTTAACATTACCACTATAACTATAACATTACCACTATAACATTACCACTATAACTATAACATTACCACTATAACATTACCACTATAACATTACCACTTCTCTCAACTTGTCTCAAGTCTCAACTTGTCTCATATTCTCTAATCACCACGTCTCTTAAAACTATGTGAGGTTATCTTCTTCATCGCCACATTTCCCTGTACAGTGTACACTGACACACAGCAAATCTCACTAAACTGTCAATCTCATACTGTCACTAGTCTGACTCTTATTCCACGGAGCTGTTTAAACTTTAGGCCGTAGGGCCAATAGTGGGGGCCGGGGGGGGGAGCAGCCGGCAGTATTAATGGATCACTGAATGTGGTCTGCATCATGTGTAGTTGAATGGTTATAATTTATATACAGTACAGAGTACAGAGTACAGAGTAGGGGCGTGCAGTATAGACAAGCAAGATTGTAGGGCTTAGCATTGATTCACTAGTAGTAAATAACAACACACTAGATATTAGTAACAAGTCAGTATCTTCCTTTGTTGATAAGAATGTGGTTTTCTCTTTGTTTGGTTCTAACATGCAATAGAATGATAACCACGCAATCATCAACTAAAGTTACCATTATTTGAACTACTACAACACGTTTTATGATCTTCTAAAGAGATTTTCCATGACCCCATTATATTTTGAATTATATCAATGCAATTAGTAAAATGTGTATTAGTAAACCATAGAAGCTGTAATGAATTTTATAAAATAAAAAGGACTATAAATCTCTCATCTAGTATGTAACCAGTGTACCTTATATTATCTGGGTGTAACAGAATAACGGAATAATGACCCAATTATTTTACAATTCTGCCAATTAAAGCCGCTACACATGCAGCAGCTACACTAATGTTCCTGAACACGCCTAATATCACGTGATACTACACCTAGCTCTCATTGGTCCTCCACAGCAAATGCAGCTCTCTGATTGGTCAGTGAGAACCCCAAATACCGACTCTAAACAATCCAGGAGCGTTTCCTGGTTTGAGTATTGTTATAACACAATACGAGACAATAGAGGGAATAGAGCTGAGGGAGCATGCAGTGCAGTAGTGGGGCTAGTAATGTTACATGACGTTATTATACGGGATATTATTACAGAGGGAGGTTATGTTTGTGTACAGGGACTAGAGATGTGAGGCATTATTCTCACTTGGCAGCTGGCTGGGGAGCTCTTTACTGTTCTCACTTGGCAGCAAATCAAAACATAACCACTGCTATATTGTGACCCACTATCATGTGAATTGTGCAGTGTTATATGTTCAATTTAAACTAATTACAAGTAAAGACTACAAATCTATTACATTTATTGAGGACGTTACAGAAGGAATTGATTTAATGTAGTTGGAGGAGTCCTAACTCTCCTCACGTCCGAAAATGGCGTTTCTCTTGTATCAAATATGTGTATTAATGGTCCATGTTTTGTTACATTATATAGGATTAATTGTACTTTCTTGTGTAACCCTCTGGAACACAGTTTTAACACATATTATCAGTATGAAAGTAGAGTATTATCAGTGTAAGAGGACAAAAACAATCTTATCAGGGCTAATGTTACCAGTTTTAAATTGTATTTAATCAGAATACAGTAAGAACAGTAGTTTTAAACTAAGCCTTTATCTCCGGTCATAAAGCAGCTTAATTCTCTTTAACTCTAGTGAAGTGTATTTTTTACCAAATGACCAGGACAACCTAAAAAGGGATTTGTTTACAGTATTGAAGAGTTAAGGTACTGTACGATATACTTGAAGAGTGTAAACCTTGCACGGGGTAGTGAGTAACATGAACTATAATAAGTTTGACAAGCACACACAGGTTTCAAATAATACTTTTACTAGAGCAGTACACTTACTTTATATTTAACATGTACAATGTACAAATTGTACATGTTACTAGAAGTGTAACAGTATGTACTGTATAGACTACCATATCATTACCATGCATTAACTGAGACACTCCCAGTTTAAACAGCCCCTATTTAAAGAGCGTGTTACCCTCTATTACTACACAGTGCCACCCTACTATTAGTATTTCAGTGACTGTTACCATGGTAATTGGTAACAGGTTACTCCCAGTTACCATGGTAACAGGTTAGCAAGCAACCTTACTGCACTCAATCAGAACAGTGTTAACTTTGCTCAATCAACTTTTAAACAGTGTTAACTTTGCTCAATCAACTTTTAAACAGTGTTAACTTTGCTCAATCAACTTTTAAACAGTGTTAACTTTGCTCAATCAACTTTTAAACAGTGTTAACTTTGCTCAATCAACTTTTAAACAGTGTTAACTTTGCTCAATCAACTTTTAAACAGTGTTAACTTTGCTCAATCAACTTTTAAACAGTGTTAACTTTGCTCAATCAGATTAATGGTGTCAACTCATCTGGCAGACGTTTTACTAACAGGTATTGATTGAAACTTCCTGTAATTGATAGAGTTTCTCAAGATAGCTGTGTAATGAGACGAGCTGTAATATAAGGTTCCTGGTTGGGTAATAATAAGGTTCCTGGTTATAGACTGTGTGCTCTGAACCGTTACTAACCGTTACTAACCGTTACTAACTGTTAACGACTGTGGAGTGAAGAAATTATAAATGTTCTGAATTACCTTGTCTGTGTTTTTTGAGCAATGTTATAATTTATGTAAGAGAAATAAAATGAATACAATTATTAAGGTGTTTTAAAACATTTTACTGAAAAGACTGAAACGTATAATAACATATTCGCATGTTTATGCTTCATAAACATAACATTTGGCGCAAACAAAACGATCGGACCAACATGAAACACGTCTTGTTTTCTCTCGCTTGAAAACCAATAATTTAAATTGACATTTGAATGTGGTATCATAATAATATAATATTCTCTCAATTCAGCAGTCTGTCAGCTTGTATCCACTACCCAGGCCAGGATACCAGGATACTTTGTATCCAGGGTAGATTATAGTTTATTTCAGTCTGATTCTCCATAATATGTTCAGTGTAAACCAATTAGTAACCTCGGTCTCCCAGTGTAATGATAATAATATGCTACAGTGTAAGAGGTATAATGATCTATAATACGCTCTTCTGCCCGCTAAACATATAAAACCTGAGACTAACACACTGTACTTTACTGTACTTACTGTACATTACTACTGTAAAAGTAGAAATGTTGCTTCCCTCGTTGTTAAAGTTAATGGGAGCACATTACTTATAATGCATCATAATGGAATAGTAGAAAAGTGTCAAGTCTCCTTCAAATTGGATCGTTACTATAGCAACCGTTATACTATTAAATTAGTAAATTATCGATCTAATATTCTAGTTAACCCTTCCATTAACTCTCTAAATAATAATATTAGCCAGTAACCAGTAACCAGTAGTCATGATATTAACTTAAAACCCAGTATAATCCAGCCAGCTTGAATTCTTGATAACCAATATGTTAGAAGAGCAACGACGCCAGTAAACAACTAAATGATAATTTAACCAATCAACTGTAAACTAAAACAAATAATCATCTCGACATTTAAACGAGCTGCTTCAGAGCAAACTGTTCTGAGCTTTATTCACTAATTATGTCAAGGTCAATTATTATACTAATTATTATTCTAATAATTATGCGGATAATTAAATTAATTATACTAATTGTGTTGATTAACACGTCCTGTAAAGCGATGAAGAATAAACTTAACATAAAAACGTATTATAACCAACTTTCTAATTCACTACTATCACGGACAGTTAAATGAGGGTTGTAACCAAATTCGCGTTAAAAAATATTCTATTATTTACTTAATTTAATATTAATCTTTAATAACCTAGTCAATAGTGGTGACAACCTCCGTGAAAAAAGGAAAACAGTGTCTGATTTAATCAATTGTGCTGTAAATATAAACTTGTTTCAGTCGGCAGGCTGACAATTTTGTTTTTTCTCGTTATAAAGGCAACATCCTGTAAATGTGAAACTGTTCAACCTAAAAATCAAATAATTTATAAACGGAAATGCTCCTTTGAACGATTATTTTTCGTTTAAGTCTTTTCTGTACAAATATATAATCAATATCATCAATAAATTACACTAATAATACGACTCGCATCCTGATAATATATAAGTTGTAAAACACAACTTTTTATTTCCTTATAAATCCTCAATTTCAATATTTATTACGATTTTATCAAACCTGTTTAATTAATAAATTAAACGTGTTAGATAAAATCACGTGTGTTTTACAACTTAGATCGACAGTAAATCAAGACGCTAAAAATCCACGGAATGTTCGGAATTTAAAGAAATAGTCTCAGTTCTGGGATTCTCATTGTCAAAGTCACGTGACAATAATAGAGCGTCCTGATTGGGCCCCATGAGGGAGGTGGGTAGTCCTCTAATCTCACTAGGTCGGCTCTGTGATGAGATAAGAGACGACAGAGAGGCGATGTGTTCTGCACGTGTGGGGATCTCATCACGTGACGGAGGGTCGCTGTTGAGAGGGGGCGGGGAGAGTTCAGGGGACATGGGCAGGAAGTTGTTATCTAGCGGGGGGAGGCTCCTCACAAACTCACCACAGTCGGGGGTGGGACGTCCTGAGATTAGTTATAATTAATAAGCTAGTTATATAATTACTGATATAGGTTTGTGAAATTGATTGACTCAAGATAATATATCTGTTCTATGTCCCTACTGCTAACTTAGCAAGTTTCCCAATGCAGCTGTTCTCCCAATTAACAAATTAACTAATTAATTAGCTACTAACCTAAGAAGTCTTGCTCCCCTACATCAGGTCTGCCCAGATATTCCTGCTCCTCCTGATGTCTCCTGTATATCTCGTGCGGATCAGGAGGAGGAGAAAGAGGAACGTATTTGCTACTGTCGCACTTGACAGGGTCTGCTTGCGGCATGTTACTGTAGATATTCTGACTGTTGAGCAGCGTGTTCAGAGTTAGACTCCTGTCTCCTGTTATAGTGGGAGTTAGTGGGGGGGGGGGGGGGGGGGTACAGTTACTTGTTAGTGAGGGACTGAGGGGCCGGGGGGGAGGGGGTAGTTAGTGGATTAACTAATTAACTAATTAACTAATTGTATAATTACCAGTATCTCCCCCAGGAATGTCTCCACACTGCACCTTGTCAGGCTCGTTAAAAGCAGGATCACTGAGTGAAAAGTAACCTTCACTGTCGATATGAGACTTCATCTTCTTCTCGTTATAACCGTAGTAGTTACTGGGGAGTAATTAGTTTAGTAATTAGTAGTAGTTACTGGGGAGTAATTGGTTTAGTAATTAGTAGTAGTTACTGGGGAGTAATTGGTTTAGTAATTTGATAAGATTAGCTAGTTTAGTAATTATTTGGTACCAAAGCAAAATCCATACATATCCTGTTAGTTATTAATGAACAAACTTATCAATTATTAAGTAGATTTATTAGTTAAATAATCGATAAATCTATAAACACATTAGTAAATGATAAAGTTAATTATCTAATTAGTTAACTAATAATCTAATTAGCCCAGTTACCTATATCCTTTCTCAGAAATGTAGTCCTGTTGTAAGTTTTGTAGTTGGTTCGTCAGCGCTTCAAAAGCAGACAGTCTATCACACTCTCCTCCTGTAATTAGAGTTAATTAATTATCTAATTAGTAGCTGATTGATTCTAATTAATTATCTCATTACTATACATACAAATATGTTACAAGTTGATAACATCGCCAAAAGAATAGACTGTAGTCTATGTGTAATATTTACTGTGTAAAACTAACTGTGGTTTTAGTTCTCAAGGCAACAATAAGCTTCAAAAATAATATCAAGTAGTGATCTCTCTATACTTGATAAGCGGCTGGGAGATATTCTTTAATAACAGTATAATACTCTAATTAATATAGACTACTGTAAATACGGTTCTAGTCCGTACTGTCCAGTTACTAATTAACTAATTAAGTGATTAACTAATTACCTCCGTCTATATTGTACGCTTTAACAGTGTCCGGTTCTAGTCCGTACTGTTCGGTTACTAATTAACTAATTAAGTGATTAACTAATTACCTCCGTCAATATTGTACGCTTTAACAGTGTCCGGTTCTAGTCCGTACTGTTCGGTTACTAATTAACTAATTAAGTGATTAACTAATTACCTCCGTCTATATTGTACGCTTTAACAGTGTCCGGTTCTAGTCCGTACTGTTCGGTTACTAATTAACTAATTAAGTGATTAACTAATTACCTCCGTCAATATTGTACGCTTTAACAGTGTCCGGTTCTATTCCGTACTGTTCGGTTACTAATTAACTAATTAAGTGATTAACTAATTACCTCCGTCAATATTGTACGCTTTAACAGTGTCCGGTTCTAGTCCGTACTGTTCGGTTACTAATTAACTAATTAAGTGATTAACTAATTACCTCCGTCTATATTGTACGCTTTAACAGTGTCCGGTTCTAGTCCGTACTGTTCGGTTACTAATTAACTAATTAAGTGATTAACTAATTACCTCCGTCTATATTGTACGCTTTAACAGTGTCCGGTTCTAGTCCGTACTGTTCGGTTACTAATTAACTAATTAAGTGATTAACTAATTACCTCCGTCTATATTGTACGCTTTAACAGTGTCCGGTTCTAACTTCTAGTCCGTACTGTTCGGTTACTAATTAACTAATTAAGTGATTAACTAATTACCTCCGTCTATATTGTACGCTTTAACAGTGTCCGGTTCTAGTCCGTACTGTTCGTCTAGGTCGGCGTACTCGTACTCGTAGGCGGGTAGTTTAGTGGGAGCGTAGTTCAGTTTGTGCTGGTTGTTGGCTCTGTTACAGATCACTACTATAATTACTATAAACACTAGTGATATCAACACTACTGCTCCTGAGAGAGATACAGTGATTAGTTAATTAGCTAATTCGTTAATTCGTTGATTAGTTAATTGGGTGATCAAGTACATGGATATGTTTAGACAATTGGTTTATTTGAAATTGATAGAAGATCAATCAATATTATTTATTGGCTTAGTCAAACTCAATCTAAAGTGGTTAAGCTACTAATTAACGTGATAATTACCTATCAAGAAAGGAAGGTATCTGTCCAGCCAAGTTTTCTCAGAGGAAGTTTTCTCGTAATCTCCTGGACCTTTACCTGCCATTATAGAAATCCATAACAGCGTCTGAAAATATATTATAGAATCAATGTTATATAATATATATAGTTTCCACAAACAAACAAACAAAATATGTTGTGCTAGGGATCAGGGCTTATGTGTTACCTGATGCCGGGTCATATTTAATTAATTATTTATTATTATTATTTTGTATAATAATCAATAATACTGATATTATATTTGCTCATGTCATTGTAAGGATGCGCAGTAAATTTGATATTAAATCATAAAATCAGTTTGACTGTCCTGTTTGAGACAGATTGAACTAAATATCATACATATTTCTTATATTTCTACATATTATTTCCTATATATCTACATATTTTATAGTCTGCGCTAGAGTTAGTCTGCGCTAATCAGTAACTAATTATGGAAATTCTATCCTATATATAACATTGTGATCTGGATAATGAGAGTTGACAGTGTTTTGAAATATATAATGAAAATTAACAGCACGTTATAAAAATATGGAATATAGGATTACTCTAGTACTTGTCACTAAGTTCTGAAAATAACAAATATTAAAATATAGAGATGTAGAGATAATATAGAGATTTTTCGTCGGCCGGGTGGTGTAGTGGTAATTCACTCGCCTCCCAAGCGGAAGACCGGGGTTCAAACCCCGTCTGAGGCAGGCAGGCCAGGTCACCAAGCTGTGATTGGTACAGGATTTATCCTGGTAATTATGCTCGGAGGATATCAGTGACGCGATTCCCACTACAGTGTAAGCTGCAGTGTAGCTGTAAAGTCTACCGCCATTCGGAATGAGTGTGAACTTGCTTACCAGGCAATCATGATTTCCGCTTGGTACTCATCAGGTCTCTAAGAAAGCCAACAGTGTGCTGATATGCACTGTCATATGTACTTCCTAGAAGCAGCACACGGCCCATTTCGGACTTGCACGAGTTATAATTATTAAAAATAGAGATGTTATTCAATGAGTTCACGTAGCTTCAATAAGTTCTATAACTGTGACTACATTTCTAGCTACTAGATTTGACCTTATTTGGTCATGATTCTTGAAAAGAAGTGTAATAAAGCATAGGCTGATCTTCATAAAGACTCACTGTAACACACACAAAGGATTTATGAAGGAGCATAATATCCTTACTCCCTAAACTTTGTAATCTTAATAATAACCACGATATTTTATAATCAGGATTACACTGTTTTTAGTGTCAAACCACCTGCTACCTCAGCTCTAGTAGTTTAGTAGTTTAGTACAGTATAGTGCTATGTTACATAGCCTATGTAGTAGTATAGTACACTACTAGTGGTCTAGTGTACACTAGATAGTAAAATACCCGTGATACAGTTTCTAAAAGCTTGGGTAAGCTAAAATTTCACGCAAAATTGTCTACGCGCCAATAATTATGACACCCTGCTGTACTCTGTAGCAGTGGTTTTTATGTGTGAATACAGAACTGGTACTTAGTCACCCTACGCGCGTGGGGTGGACTCCTGGGGTGGACTTTTATTCAGCGCGTATTTTGTAGCCTGTTCAACTTGACGTTTTGAATCGTTACTATCTCAATGTCACAGATACATAGAATGTGAGGTGATCATCTGAAAGAGAAACGTCTCAGCTTTCACCTGGTGTAAAGTTTATCTTTGTTCTCAAAATATAGCTCGCTCAGTGTGCAACAGAAGTTGACATTACAATAACCACGTCCGCGACCGGTCGTCAGATACCGGAGTCTTGCACAAAATTGGGTCCCTAAATTAAAATTTTATGACACAGTTACGATGAACTAGTGTCTAGGGAAACATTTGGTGAAAGTTTCAACTCTCTACTATAAAAATAGCGATAGTTATTGAAGATAAACCGTGAGAAACTCCCTCTTGTCGAGATCAACGCTCTAGGAACCTCCCTTCTGTACCACGTGACAACGATTAGAGCGTCACGTGACACAAGTGCGCGCGTTGGCTCGAACATTCTCGTGGGAAATCCTGATTGCCTGATCGATCTGGTGGGAAATCCTGATTGCTACGGAAAGGGCTGACAACCACTGTTATTTTCGTTCCTCAATTTTCCAGTTCACTTGCTCAGTGCTGTCAGTTGTTTTTTGTTTGCCCTGCTAAATAAATTTCACTCCGTCATAATCCCCTACTCCCCTATCCAATGAACTGTTTCTGTTACAGCTGCCATTCTGTTGACTTGACCCTAACTTAGTCTTATCATTGTCACTTGATAACTTTATCCGTGTGCACTTTCTCGAAACTCACTTATCTTTGTCAAGACTCAGCTAGTCTCAGATCTAAATGTTGCCTTAACAGACTTACTGGTCACTGCACTAGGCCCTCCTTTAAATGCAAATATCATATGAGCAGCCGATCGATTTATTGCTTGAACTGTGCATCCTTTTTTTAAAATACATAAGGTCAATTTTTCTATCGTGAAACTTAGTCACTGAAAGTGAAGACAACGCAATCTGGCTGTGCCGGTTCCCCTCTGCCTAGATCACTTAGAATATCCATAGTTAGCAATACTTTAATCGTTTAATGCAGCGATATAGCCAGTTATTAATGCCACATTGTAGATTTTAGCCTGTTCCAATCATCCTTATATCGAGTTAATGAAATTTATGAAATTGCCTACCGTTCAAATCGCTCTCTGTTGTTAGCACCACACTGATTAACTACAATGTTCCAATTTTTTAGAATTATGTCCGACATAATTCTAATTTTTGCTGTTACAGCAGATAGTTATGGTGAAATGGCACGCAGGAATAAGTCATCCCTGTCCTCCAAAAAGCACATGAAAAGGTACTTGGTAAGCCATGTCTTTTCCAATATCAAATCCAATGTATCACAATCTGTGGACTTTTTACTCAAAAACTAGATTGATTAATTGATAATTCATTGCTGATTGTTCACGCGCCCTGTATGGAAGTATAGTTGTGGAACACAACAAGAAAATTGAGAATAATCTTGTGCGAGGGTAGGGACCCAGATGTCGTTTCTAACCCAAATAAACTTTAAGGAGGCTTCTCATCAGTAGCCGCACCTCCTTACTCGGTTTCTGAACTGGAATTCTATGGGCTTCCAGACGGCCAGACCGAGTATTACCACCCCATCCTTCTAGAGTTCATCACAAGTAGCACCCACCTTGAAGATCTTTGACACCCAGACACACCCCATTGGCGAACAAACTTTGGATATAATCTTACATGCTCCCGAAGGAATCCCTGGTTTATGGTCTTTCTCATCGTCACCAGCACTTTCACTAGAGTCACCAGCCCTTTCACTGGAGTCATCAGCCCAATCACTGAAGTATACAGAAGTATAGTTGTGGAACACAACAAGAAAATTGAGAATAATCTTGTGCGAGGGTAGGGACCCAGATGTCGTTTCTAACCCAAATAAACTTTAAGGAGGCTTCTCATCAGTAGCCGCACCTCCTTACTCGGTTTCTGAACTGGAATTCTATGGGCTTCCAGACGGCCAGACCGAGTATTACCACCCCATCCTTCTAGAGTTCATCACAAGTAGCACCCACCTTGAAGATCTTTGACACCCAGACACACCCCATTGGCGAACAAACTTTGGATATAATCTTACATGCTCCCGAAGGAATCCCTGGTTTATGGTCTTTCTCATCGTCACCAGCACTTTCACTAGAGTCACCAGCCCTTTCACTGGAGTCATCAGCCCAATCACTGAAGTATACAGAAGTATAGTTGTGGAACACAACAAGAAAATTGAGAATAATCTTGTGCGAGGGTAGGGACCCAGATGTCGTTTCTAACCCAAATAAACTTTAAGGAGGCTTCTCATCAGTAGCCGCACCTCCTTACTCGGTTTCTGAACTGGAATTCTATGGGCTTCCAGACGGCCAGACCGAGTATTACCACCCCATCCTTCTAGAGTTCATCACAAGTAGCACCCACCTTGAAGATCTTTGACACCCAGACACACCCCATTGGCGAACAAACTTTGGATATAATCTTACATGCTCCCGAAGGAATCCCTGGTTTATGGTCTTTCTCATCGTCACCAGCACTTTCACTAGAGTCACCAGCCCTTTCACTGGAGTCATCAGCCCAATCACTGAAGTATACAGAAGTATAGTTGTGGAACACAACAAGAAAATTGAGAATAATCTTGTGCGAGGGTAGGGACCCAGATGTCGTTTCTAACCCAAATAAACTTTAAGGAGGCTTCTCATCAGTAGCCGCACCTCCTTACTCGGTTTCTGAACTGGAATTCTATGGGCTTCCAGACGGCCAGACCGAGTATTACCACCCCATCCTTCTAGAGTTCATCACAAGTAGCACCCACCTTGAAGATCTTTGACACCCAGACACACCCCATTGGCGAACAAACTTTGGATATAATCTTACATGCTCCCGAAGGAATCCCTGGTTTATGGTCTTTCTCATCGTCACCAGCACTTTCACTAGAGTCACCAGCCCTTTCACTGGAGTCATCAGCCCAATCACTGAAGTATACAGAAGTATAGTTGTGGAACACAACAAGAAAATTGAGAATAATCTTGTGCGAGGGTAGGGACCCAGATGTCGTTTCTAACCCAAATAAACTTTAAGGAGGCTTGGTAATGGTAATCCGCATACTCCAGGAAGAATTGAAGCAATCTCAAGAGAAAAGAAGGGAATCTGGATCCTTCGTCGGATCGTCACAGAGCTTAGAGGGGAGCTCTACGCTTCACTGGCCATGCAAAGCAGGGAGAGTGACGGAGGCGGAGGCACTGTTGGCTGCTGGAGCTGACATTAACAAGCTGGACAGAGCGCAGTTGAACCCTTTCATGGACGCGATCAACTCAGGTAAATCATTTGACCGCCTTAACAATATGGGTTTATCTAACATTGGTAATAGTAGCAAGAGGTTTTAGTCATGTGTTTGATTACAGCACAGTGTGAAACCCTGAAGCATACGTCGAGCTCTAAACTCTGTTTTGTCTGATAATCAATTATTTGAATATTGAAGGATTAAATTTGGTAACTTGATGATCACATAATTAACAGGACAGGTCGACTGTGCTAGAT